TCGCCTACGCGCTGCAGGTTTGTAGCGCTGACCGGACGTCGCGGCGCTCGACGCGCCGAGGTCGCGGCGCGGCCGCGCGCGCTGGGACGACGTCACCAGCCACAGGGCCGCGGCCGCGAACAGGCGCCGCGGGCAGCCCATTGTCGCCAAGGAGTAATAAATAGTATATATATATAGGATCAAAACCAAGAAGGACCTCACCAAGAGACCTTAATATCAATATGGACCCCGCCTTCCAAAATAATGTCGAAATGGACCTCACTTCAAAACAAAATATCAAAAGGGACCTCACCGTCCACCATTTTTGACCATCATTACCTGGAATTTAATGTCCCATCATATCGACGCGTCTTCCCATAATTAATACCAAGACGGACCTCACCTTCAAATTTTTGTTGTTTTTTCTTAGAGAAGGAGCGTGGTAGCGCACCACGTGCGTGGGGCCCCGCTTACATGGGGCGACACTCTCGTGGCCTGAGCTGCCTACTCTTCGTCGGAGTCGGGGTAAAGGCCGCTGGGCTTGAATTTGAAGTAGTCCTCGAGTGAGCTCGAGCTACAGGGTGGTAAACTGATTAAATCCTACTTGGGCGTACTCGGGGAGGTGTCGGGCGACTTCCCCTTGGCCCCCGGCGAGTTCCTGGCACCGACTTTCTGGGCCGACTTTCTGGGCCGGTCGGTCGCCGCCGCCGCCGCTCAAGCCGTCTGAATCACCCTGGGGTTTTCCCGTTGTTATAGTGCCTAAGCCACAGAATAAGGGCTGGCGCATGTGGCCGAGCTCAAGCCCGGGCCGCTGCGGCAGAGACAAGAGTAGCATAGCGCTCTTCCAGAGGAGCCAGGAACGCCTAGGATACCCGTAACGCAGTCTCACTCTGATCTGGGCTATGCTCCCGCTTTCGCGCTGTGCATTGGAATCCATGGCTGAAATTGCTTTGAGTCGGCTTGTGACGTGACCCAGGTGCGGGGTGGGTTGGGGACCGGCTGTCAGAGCGCTTCCGAGCTCCGACAGCCACTCGATCCCGCATACGTATGCGTTTAACACAACGCCGGAATGATATATATCACGAATAACTAGAGTTAAGATTTAAAATAAGGGGGGTCGACCCCTACTTCGACGACGCCTCACAGAGCGACGGCAGAGAGAAAACATGACCAGCAGAATGCAGGAGGCGGAAGGGTGACTCCACTCAGAGTAGACCGCTCGAGGCTGCGTCGCACCGGCCTCGGGCTGCGCCCTCGGACGGTACTCCTTGCCCCTCGGGTCTACTCTTCACTGGGAAAGCGCCACGTGCGTCTATGCGCTCCTCGCTGCGTGCGTCGTGTTCGTGCTCGAGCTCGGCGCGACGTCGAGCGCGTTCCTGGGGAAGGTCAATTCGTCGCTCCCGTTTTCTGTCGTGATGTTCAGGCGCATGATTACCCAGGAGGTGTTTTTCTCCGAAAGTGTCGCGAAGGCGCTCCTCTACGTCGCGCTCGTCCCTTCCATGTTCGCGCGATGGTCCGTGCTCGTCTGGCCGGGCGTCCACCTCCTCGCCGTCGCCGCGCTCTACGTCGGCGACGCGCTCCTGCCGCCGCGGGCCGCGCCGGACTTTGGCGTCTACGCCCCCGTGCCCTCCGAGACGACCTTCTGAGCAATCGAGGCGCTCCGAGGTCGGCCCGAGGCTCGCGCGCGCCCACCGGCCGGTTCCGTCGACCTGAGCCCCGCGCCGCCGCGGACTAAGCTCCCCTCGCGCCCACCGGCCGGTGCCGTGCCTTGTGGCGCCGGAGCTTCGGGAGCGCGAGGCCGACGGCGTAGAGGTCCGCGAGCCAGAGCTGGGCGTAGGCGACGTCGTCGAGGGCGACGAGGCCGTGCTCGTAGAGGGCGACGTAGGCGTCCTCGACCGCGCGCGCGACGGAGCCGCCCGGCCGGTGCGGCGCGACGCCGTCGAGCACGCGGACGACGGCGTCGGCCTTCTCGTACAAGGGCCGCTCGCTCATGTAGTCGGCGAGGGCGTCGTGGTCGTTGCGGAGCTGGGTCACGCCCGGCGGCAGGAACGCGAGCCGGAGCCCCGCGGCCCGGAGCACGCGCTGCGCGACGAAGCCGCGCCAGATGTCGGCGACGCGGCCGTGGACGGACGCGGGCAGGAGCAGCGCCCAGAAGGCGGCCCGGTCGAACAAGGTCGCCTGGGCGTTGAAGGGGCAGACGGCGCCGCCGTCGAGGACGACGCCGCGGCCGTGGGACGAGGGGAAGTCGAAGGGCAGCGGCAGCGCCGCGCGGGGCCCGAGGCGGTAGATGGCGTCGACGTCCGGGTCGTGGTTCGCGAGGAGCTGGGCGACGACGACGTCGTCGGCCGCGCGCGGGTCGTCGGCCGCGGCCGCGGCCGCGGGGCCGTTGATCGCGTCCAACGGTAATCCCCGGGGCCACGCCTTCTCCGCGCCGAACGACGCCGCGTAGGCGTTGAAGAAGGCGCTCCCGGCGTCGGGCGCGTCGGGCGCCGCGAGGCGCGGGTCCGACGCCCGCGCCGCCGCACCGGCCGAGGCCGGCGGCGCGCCGAGGAGCACGTTGTCGTCGTCGAAGTCAAAGATCGTCGCCGCGCCCGCGTGGATGGCGTAGAGGTAGCCCAGGTTCTTGCGCGCGAAGTGGTCCCAGGGCGTCGCGCTCGCGAGGCCGTAGGGCAGGGTCTCCTGCGCCGCGGCGCTCAGGTACGCGACGGTCGCCGGCGCCGCGGCCGCGAGCGCCTCGTAAGGGCCGTCGGCGGTCTTCCGGTCGCCGACGACGACGAGGCACCAGCCCGACGCGTTGCCCACGCGCAGGATCGCCTCGCTCGGCGGATTGATCGTCGTCACGACGCCGCAGCGCTCGCAGGCCGACCAGGGCCGCGGCAGCGGCGACGCGCTCCGGTTCACCGTGTCGCCGAGGCGCGGCCCGGCGTAGGTCGCCACGCGCTGCGGTTTGTAGCGCTGACCGGACGTCGCGGCGCTCGACGCGCCGAGGTCGCGGCGCGGCCGCGCGCGCTGGGACGACGTCACCAGCCACAGGGCCGCGGCCGCGAACAGGCGCCGCGGGCAGCCCATTGTCGCCAAGGAGTAATAAATAGTATATATATATAGGATCAAAACCAAGAAGGACCTCACCAAGAGACCTTAATATCAATATGGACCCCGCCTTCCAAAATAATGTCGAAATGGACCTCACTTCAAAACAAAATATCAAAAGGGACCTCACCGTCCACCATTTTTGACCATCATTACCTGGAATTTAATGTCCCATCATATCGACGCGTCTTCCCATAATTAATACCAAGACGGACCTCACCTTCAAATTTTTGTTGTTTTTTCTTAGAGAAGGAGCGTGGTAGCGCACCACGTGCGTGGGGCCCCGCTTACATGGGGCGACACTCCCGTGGCCTGAGCTGCCTACTCTTCGTCGGAGTCGGGGTAAAGGCCGCTGGGCTTGAATTTGAAGTAGTCCTCGAGTGAGCTCGAGCTACAGGGTGGTAAACTGATTAAATCCTACTTGGGCGTACTCGGGGAGGTGTCGGGCGACTTCCCCTTGGCCCCCGGCGAGTTCCTGGCACCGACTTTCTGGGCCGACTTTCTGGGCCGGTCGGTCGCCGCCGCCGCCGCCGTCGCCGCCGCCGCCGCCGCCGCCGCGTCGTACGACCAACGGTCGTCGCAGGCCCAGCCAGGCCAAAATTTCCGATGTCGCGTTCCGCGACGAATGGGGTCGCTCCCCGTACACCTAAAGACAAATCCGACGTCCCGAATTCATTTTCGACGTCCTTTGGACCGTGTAAGACGACCTCGCGGAAGCGCGCGCGTGCGCGCGGGGCCGAAAATATAAAAAAATTTAAATAACGGCCGACGAGCTGCGGTACGGCCCCGGTACCGCCGCCTTTCCTGCCGGAGTGCCCCGGGACGTGCCCGGCCCCCGGGAAGTTAACCCAGGGGTGTCGGCGTGAACCTAGGGCTCAAAGTGGCGAGGTTTTCTTCAAAGTTTGTCGTCGCTTCGGCATCTTGATGGATTTTTAGCCATCTTTTTTCCAACGACGGGCTGCCTCGACACGCTGCGGCGCCCCTCGGTGGCCGAAAGCGCTGCGTCTTGCGCCTGTGCCACGCGCGCAAGCTGCCGCGTGGCTGTCCGATCCGCAGGCCATCGTGTGACGCCGCGAACACGGTTGCACGGGCCGCTCTGGGCGTCGAAACGGTCTCTCTGGGCACACGGTCGTCGGTGGCGCAGCTGTGCAGCGGCCTCGTGGGTGCGGCGCCGCGCCCAGAACGGTCGAGGCCCTTGGCATGATGTGTGGTCCCGAGCTCGAGTAGCACAACCGCCAACACGGGCCCGTGGCGGCGGCCATCCGGCTCCTTTACGGCGTGCTCGTCGAGGAGCAGCTCGAGCACCGCCAAGCTCATCGACGTCGTCGTGCGGGACCCCATCAAGCTGCCCGACGCGTCCGTGGGGTCGCCCGGGGGGCCGGTGCCGAAGGGCTACGGCAGCGGCCAGCCCTACGGCCGGCCCGGGCCCGACGACCATCCGCGACCACCGCGCGGCCGCGGCCGGCGACGACGACTCCGAGCACGAAACTCATACCACCCGTCCCACGCGCCTTCCGCACGCCTCCGGGGGGTTTAGGGAGCGTCCACGCGCCTCGGCGGGGCGTTAACCCACGCGTAAAGCGACATCGGCAATCTCGCCGATTATGGCCTGGCTGGGCCTGCGACGACCGCCAATCCCAGGTCAGGCATATGGCGTACTTAAACCCCTTTATTAGAGTGATGCATCAAGCGCTGATCAGCGCACTTTACTTGTAGAGAATCACTAGCTGCCAACGGGCAGAGGATCTGCCTCACTAGGTCCAGGAAGCCTGAGACTCTCCGTCTATTACAGTGCGGGAAGCAACTATAACAGGGTTAGAAAGTATTAAGAAGGGGGAAGGATATTGAGTGGCTCTGTACCAGCGAGCCACTGGCACTAGGGAGATACAAAACTCTCTATCTCTCTAGGTAGTTTGGCAAATAGGGGGAGCTCAGGAGGAAAATTCTGCTATATCCGCGCGCGTAGCACGAAGGACGATGTGCGCCAGGAGGTTCTTGCAAAGGCAGAAGGCCATCGTCAGCAGATGCTTGAAGCGTTTTTGTGCTGGGATATCATAGCCTGGCAAGTTGAATGTAACATATCCCGCCGGCGGGATATGTTAAAGAACGAACATTCGAGAGGCCGTGGCGCCAGGCGAGGCGGATAGGCTGTGGAATCTGGTGAGCCTCAGTCATAGCCTGCTGGTTACTCCCCGTTAGTAGATTTACAAAAAAATCAACGCCCATATACTGGGTTATAACAACTAAGATTGTTTAGTTGATTAGTTGTGTAAAATAGCACAAAAATGGCGTTTTTTTCTTCGGGGGGCATAACCCCGCTATCCCATTTGAATCTCCCCACCTTAATCCCCCCCGCACGTGGATAAACTAGGCGGGGGGATTAAGGTGGGGAGATTCAAATGGGATAGCCCCGCTAGAGCGGCTGCGTCTCTTCAAGATTTCTTGGCGACGTGGCCTCGAGCCCCCCCGCCAGGCTTCTCGACCCAGGCTTCTCGACGCAGCGCCCTCTCACGATGAGTCAAGAAAGACGACGCGTCGAGGCGATGTTGCACGTAGTCCACCGGGAGATCAACCCGGGCGTTCCAGCGCTCGCCCGTGATGTCAACCTCGATGGCATTCTTCTGAACGTCCGCGCCCGACACGGGGGAATCGATTCCGGTGACAGGCGGGGCGCAGTCCGGGATCGGCAAGTCGGCGAGGTCGCGAAAGCACGAGCAGTTGCGCGTCCACTCGACGCAGTCGAGATCCTTCATGAAGCACGCGCAGCGCGGTGGCGGCTCGCGCGCCATTCTCCGCAGCGCGACCGCCGCCGCGCGGCGCGCCTCGCACAGCGAGCCGCCGCGCGCGAACACGTCGTAGTCGAGGAGCGCGGCCGCGTCCTCGCGCGCCATCGCGGGCCACGTGTCGAGGCGCGCCGTGAGCGCGTGGCGCGGGATCGGCGGCCACCGCCAGAGCGCCGCGCGCACAAGCACGAGGTCGAGGCCCTCGACGACGCCCGCGACCACGTAGCCGCACTCGCGCGCGACCGCCTCGACCGCG